GAGATGTAGCTCCTCGTGAATAGCCCCTTGATGATCATGTTAACCAATCCACCATTCTCTTGCCCGTGGAAGAAACAAAGGATAGTGGTAGATTAATTGATCGGTTTCGGTTTGATAAGGTGTATACAAAGAAAAAAGACGACTTTGCTCGCTCTACAAGCAAGATCAATCACTTGTACCAAGTTCTAAACCCGAGGTAACAATTTCTAACATTTTTTCTCCCTCATCCGATTCTACACAACTTGAGACCGATCTTGACAAACCTATAGCCTTAAGGAAAGGAACCCGCAATCGCATAAAAACACGTTTATACCCATTGGTCAATTGTGTCTTTCAATAATTTTTTCGAAAATCATCGTAGCTATCTCGTCCATATTAAATTCAATTGCTATTCCTAACCTTTTTCTCGAAGCTTTATCTAAAGAAGAATGGAGACTTGCCATGACTGCGAGAGATGGAAGCACTAGAAAAGAATGGTACTTGGGAATTGGTGTTGCCGCCTCGAGGGAAGAAAACGATTGATCGTAAGTGGGTGTTTGCAATGAAACTTAAGACGGATGGGTCTTTAGAATGATACAAGGCCGGATCGATTGCCAAGGGTTATACTCAAACATATGGGGTCGATTATCAAGAGATGTTTGCTCCGAGTAGCAAAGATGAATATGGTGCGAATTTTGTTATCATTGGCGGTCCACTTTGATTGAAAGTTATAGCAATATGATGTGAAGAATGCATTTTTACACGATAACTTGGAGGAAGATATTTACATGAGCATTCCACTTAATTTCGGTGACGGTAATGGGAATCAAGTTTGTAAACTCAAAAAGGCGTTGTATGGCCTCAAACAATCACCCCTTGCTTGGTTTGGTTGGTTTACTCATGTGATGCTTGCGAATGGATACAAACAAAGCCAAGGAGACCACAGTTTATTTATCAAACACACTCGCTTCGGAGGAGTCACAATTCGATTGTTTACGTTGATGATATCATTGTAACCGGGAACAATGAAACAGAGAAAGGAGTGTTGAAACGAGTGTTTGAACCAAGAGTTTGAAATTAAAGACCTTGGGAGATTGAAATATTTTCTTGGCATAGAGGTGGCTCGGTTTAAGCAAGGAATATTCATCTCATAGCAAAAATATGTTATCGATTTACTCATTGAAACCGGGATGACAAGCAAGCAAACCCGCAAGCAACTCCAATTGAACAAAATCATCGATTAGGAGAAGCTTTAGGTGATAAGAAGGTGGAGAAGGAAATGAATCAACATCTCGTAGGAAAACTCATCTATCTTGCTCATACTAGATCGGACATAGCTTATTCCGTAAGTGTTATTAGTCGGTTTATGCATGATCCAAGAGAAGTTCATCTATAAGTCGTTTACGAGTTCTTCGTTATTTGAAAGCTCACCCATGCAAAGGAATTCCGTTTAAGAAAAAATAAAATATTGATCTAGCAGTTTACACGGATGCTGACTTTGCGGGTTCTCCAGTTTACGGAAGATCAACTACGGGATACTCGTATTTTTGTTGGAGGAAACTTGATATCTTGGAGGAGTAAAAAACAAGATGTGGTTGCACGATCAAGTGCGGAGGCTGAATTTAGAGCAATGGCAGCGGGTATATGTGAACTATTGTGGGTGAAAATCATCTTGGAAGATATAAAGGTTGAATAGTGTGGTCTAATGAAGCTCTACTGTGATAATAAATCGCCATCGGTATAGCGCAAAATCCAAGTGCAGCATGACCGAACTAAACACGTAGAGGTGGACAGACATTTTATTAAGAAAAAGCTCGACGAATGGATTAATTTGTACTCATATGTTCCTACGGATCTTCGATTGGTGAATGTTCTAACAAAAGGATTAAACGAGTCATGCATTTCGAGAAAATATATACAAGCTAAGAATGGAAGACCTATATTCACCAGCTTGAGGGGGAGTGTAGGAAATATCGGGATATAATTAGATAGGAAATATTTTGTATATTCTTTCATATTCTGTAGGGATCCTATTCTATCTTCCTATTCTTTAGGAATTCTTTCCTATCTTAGGACTCTATATATATATAGTTGTGTAATTGAAACATACTGAAATTATTTTCTCAAATATTATTTTCTTCATAAACCTATAGTGAATTTAAACTAAAAGGATTATAAGGGGTTGCATATAATTTAAAAACACAAAAACGAAGCTCCATAAAAGGAACTTGAGCAAAACCAAAAGCTAGAATAAACCTTTTTGGGACACTTTAACCGGTGAAAGAAAATCCAAGAATTCTCTTAAATATATGTAAAGTCTCATGTAAGGTCTTTTGAAACTTGTCAAAACACTTCAAGTTCATCTTATCTAATATGCAAAACAATAAATTTGGACAACTAATCATTAGATCAAACAATTTGCAAAAACCAATCGAATATCAAAGTTATCAAGTTTTTTATTTTTTATATACAACATTGAAACCCTAGATATTCTTGATAAAACATATTCGAACACAAACCCGCATACGAAAGAATTTTATCAATTTAAGGACTTGAAGGCTCCCATTCAATAGTTCAAAATACATGGAAAATTATTCATTAGATATTGTCAAATTCAACAAATATCGTGAAGAGACAATCATTCTCGGTACATATGGTATGATTGTTCATGCATAAGTTATCAAGTGGTACTTCTATTAATAATAATTCTAGAACCAATGTTTTTTTTTAAAAAAAAAACAACTCGTCATTAATGATAAAAGATTGGCAAGTCGGATTGGTAATTTGCAATTTTCAATTAGACTATAAAACTAACTATGATAAGACCATTTGAAAGGCAATAGTACAAAGATTGAACCTCGGAGCAAAAATAGTCACATTAAAAGCTTTTAAAATATATGTTGAATAGATACACAAATATAATCATACCAAGGTTAGCTCTTATATAATGAGTACATAAAAACTTCTTCATACCTTAAAACTATAGCTGCTAGTTTGGTAGCATAAAGATTAATAATATTGGCCCCGACTAAGCCACCGGCTCGATTAAGCATCCATCCGAAACCAACAACGAGCATTACACGCTTTCTCAAAAGTACTACTAAACCAAATAAGATTATATACTTTATCCAATGTTAGCGCATTGCAAAAATGTTTGCCCTTCTTTTTTTAAAAAAAAAAAAATTCTCCATTGAAAGTAACATTAATATGACTATTTAACAATATCTCAATCCATTCACTTCTAGATCCCCGCATAACAAATATGGCAAAATATCTAATTAGGTTGCGAGCACATTCTTTCCTGCATATCCATCAAAACGAGTAATTATTTTATAAAAGCACAAAAAATCAAGATGGATATTAAATTCAAAAATTATCTAGGTACCTACTAAACGTTTTAGGTTCTAGCTAATGCACATAGGGCATTTTCCATTCTTCAATATGTGAAGAATTAAATGGTCGGTCAAATATTCTAATGTTTAGGAATTTGATTATTGTTCGTTGACTTATTTGCTTCAAATGTATTAAGCAAATATAAACTCCACGAATCATAGCAAATGCCAAACGACCAATATGAATAAAAAAGGAGATTTCTTAGGACCCTTTATAACTAATGCATCCTAAAATTAACAATAGCGCAAATGTTAACATAATAAATTTATAATAGGAATACAAATCTCATAACGGAACAATTGGTAGAGATCAAAGGATCATGCTACGGTTTCCATCTATATTTCTACATAAAAAGAAAGGAGATAGGAAATTAAGAGGGCTTTGGTTCTATTCTTTTGATCATTTTGAAAAAAAAAAAAAAGGCAATGGAAATGGTCAAATTGTCGGCACTTGGAAAAACAAAAACATGATGCTAAAAGATAACAAACAAACACACATTATTCTAGTACCAAGTCGCGCGTTTTATAAAATCTATATGGTCTTAGAAAATCTTGTAATTAAATGCAAAAATCCAAAATTAGACATTTGATAAAATTAGCTATATGGTCCGTAAATATGTTCGCGAGTACCGAAATTAGAAGAGAATGTACGGAAAAAGAAAAAAGAAAAAATATCCCACATAATAATCAAAACTAAGTATTATAAAATCTTATGATGAGTACTAAAATTAGAAGACAACAAGAACGAAAGAAAAAGAAAAAAAAAATCAAAGTTAAAGTATTAGTTTAACATACCTTGCTTGTAGAAACACAAATTTTCATTCATCCATCGGGAGGAGGAAAGCAAAGCAAATAACATGGCATCCATTCAATTGTTTATCTATCTTTCGGAGAGAGAAAGAAATGACCGACGAGAAAAACAAAAAAATAAAAAAATCCACCTATTAAATCATAAAATAAGTAAAAAAAAAATTATTGCAAAACTCTCCATCTAAGATTTGTCTTCTCTTCTAGTAATTCTCTAACTCGATCAGCAATTTAACCGTAAATGAACCCACTAAGAGTAAGCTGAAGAATTTTTTTTTTTTTTTTTACCTCTTTTCCATCTCAATCGGCATCTCGCAAACTGACTTGCCAAAATTTTTCCAAACCACTTGAAGTTGTGTTCGTTCACAAAATAATAAACTGAAACAATTAAAAAAAATTACGTCGCACGAAAAGTTATAGCAACAAACTAAATATACACCAAAAAAATCAACCATCACAAAATATAACAAAACAAACTTCAATTTTTTATTAAAAACTGAGAATTTCATAGGAACAAATTTTTTACACTGAGAATTTCATAGGAAAAATCGACCAATGATGCTTGTCATGCTCATGTTAATCTAAGGTAACATCATACACAAATGACCAATTTTGTTTCCCAATGCCAGGCTTTTTCATCATCTTGTCCATAAGTAACAACAATAATTATGCTTTAATTTGCAGTTCATTAAAAAATAGTGTGCCAATGGTTAAATATTTTACAACAGCTGAGAAAACATATAATTGTTCATCTTATCTGACATTACATTGAAGTGTGTCCTCACATATAGAGGCAATCCTGGACTAATTCGATGCATCAAATCACAGCTGCACAATGGAAAATATCATAAAGAGAGAAAGACCATCAAAGAGCGATGTAAAATGTAAGATATTAAATGAAATTGAATAAAAATCATTACTTGACGATTAGGCAGCATCCCAGTGTTTTCAGCAGACACAAGCAAAACTTTTAAAAGACCAATATCACAGGTCAGCTCCCCTGCACCTACACCACTTTGCACGGATCCAGTTTTGAGAAAAAAATCAAGATCGCAAGTTGTAGCAACAAACTTAATAAACACCAAACAAATCCGGTTCCTCAGCTTTTCCAACATCAAACTTGCATCAAATCTGTTCTTAAGGAAAAAATAAAAAGAGAACCACAGATAAGCTTTGCATCAGCTTTCACTTAATTCAGAAGCCAAACGCAACTTTCACTTTTAGGTGAAGTTAATTAGAGTTTGTTATAAAGCAAGTAGACAGCTAACTCCCAAAAAAAAAAAAAAAGGAATAAAAACTCCAATTTGATATGGACAAAAACAGTTAACGGCAAGTCAGATTCACCAGAATAAATTTTATTCTAAATTTTTTCCAACATCTATTAAAACAGTTCTCCATATGCACCTTAATTAAGAAACAATCATCCCAAAACATTAACAATTCTTGTGAGTCCCATCATCCATACCTGTTAGGTCATTTATAGCACTCTGGGCATCCTGAGAGGAAAACAATGTCAGAATCATGATGAAAAAAAAAATTACAGAAAAAAAGTGCACTGAATGAATTCAATACTTGTTGATTTTGGAAGGAAACAAACCTAAACCCTCTAGAACGTCCAGTCTTCTGATCCCACATAACCCTTGCATCTCTGAAACAAGAAAAGGTTAGATAGTAGATACAGTCCATAGCTTCTTAACACCAACAGAATAAGACAATAAACCATCAAGCAAGCATTTCCAACTTTTTAACTCTATGTTTTCCAGTACAACTTTAGACACTAAAAACGTTGAAATCAAGTAAGATGGACACATGCAGAGAGAGTGGGGGAGAAAATTACGAACAACTGGGATAAATAGAAAAGCAGGCATATAATGTTGCATCAGTAACCTCGGGACTAAGATCTCCAACAAAAACGTTGAAGTGACCTGCACATTAAAATGACATTCATGCTTATACATGCCAATAAATCTGAGTTAAGAATAAAATAAAAAAATATTAGAAACAAAAGAAGAAAAAGAACCAACTTGATGTGTCTTCCCTCTGACGACTAGCATATGCCCACTTAACTTTAATAGACTGCCCAAATCTGCAAAGTGCACAGTAATAAGATGCTGACACAAATTTAAACCAGAGCATGGAGGATCATTACAAGAGTAAAATGAGCTACTCATAGATGCCTTTCGTTAAGAGATAATATCGCAAAAGCAGTTGCTCGACGATCAAAATAGAGAATAAACCTATAGGATGACTGCAGAAGTGGAAACAACATAGATGTAAAACATAGCATACAAGCTGATTGAGTTTGGATGCTGGGTTAATCGAAACAGACGTAGGGATGACAATTTGCCCTGCCCGTCCCACGTCAATTTTCTCTGATCAACGCAGGGATTTCCCTCGTTGATCGGGGAACGGGGTGGGACGGAGCACCACACGAGCGGGGATGGGGCGGGGATAGGATTTGCTCGTCCCGCCCCGTTTGCTCCATTTCTTTTTTTTCATTAAAATTATAATTATACCTCATATAAAATCTATAATTATGACTTTTAGTGTTTATTTTCTATATAAATTATTATTTTTTTGCTATAATTTAAAATTTGATAGTAGAATTGGATAAAATGAGACAAAAATAAAAAATTAATAATAATTTTTGTCCCGTTTGCCTCGCGGGGATCCCTATCCCCATTTGAGACGAGAGATGGTACAGGAAATTTTGCCCCGTTCGAGGCACGGGGTAGGGACGAGAAAAATTTTTCAGAGGCGGGGCGGGAACGAGGATGACGATTCCCGGCCCGCCCCATTGCTATCTCTAAACAGACGAGAGAGAGAGAATAAAGTTTTTTTTTTCACATAGCCAAAAAAAAATATAATATGTCATGCCATCTTGATTATTTTATGTCAGCTAGTAGTTTTAATCTAAAAATTAACCAAAAAAAGAATCAAATGAGTCACGTTAAAAAATAAATAAAAAATACAAAGAGGAGTTGGACAAATATATATATATATATATATATATATATATATATATATAGGAGCCACATTAATAAAAAGTCAAAAAGAGTCAAGAGTAGCACGACGTCTGATGCTATTGAACCAGTAGAGTTAGGGTTTAGTGCAGGACAGGGGAATTGGAAACTGGAAGTTGGGATTTAAGGGATTTTTAATCAGGGGTAAATTGGGGTTTTTAGTTTTTATTTTGTTACATTGCTGAATTCTATTGTAAACTGAAAGAGAGAAAAAAAAAAAAAAAATTAGTGTCTAGTATTAGCATCCTATGCGACTCTTCCATGAAATAGACGTCGTTACCTAAAAAAATGGATGGAAAACAAATGTAAGACGCAAATATAACGTTCAGGAACGGAATTAAAGAAAAATTTAGTAAAGAAAAATAATTAAAAACAAACAAATAGTAAAAAAACATGTTGAACCATTAACCCGTGGATAAATAAGGTCATGGTGCGCCTCGGCTACTACTAAACTAAAAGGGTCGGGACTGTCCTGGATTCACATGCATAATTTTGCTGCTCCATACCATTTAGATTTGCCCTAATCATTCCGGAAGGTACAAGAGGTAATTACAATGGAGAACGTAGAAACGTTGGCATAACTGGCCACATTAGGCCAATTTGACTGCACTATTTTTTTTTCCCCATCTCGAGCATTGTTTCAGTATCCCTCGTATTTCACATAATCATTTCGTAGGTACCTTCTTATTTTTTCGACTTCATAAATCGAGCATCACTTCATAAAAAATCAAGCCTTGTTGGCCTGTAATGCATCCAAGCTTTATCACTAACTAAAAAGGTGCTTGAAAACAAGTAGCTGTAGACATGTAATGTACCCTCCGAAGAGGAAAAAGATCTAATAGCTGCATGAGTGTTCAACAGACTTGGCAATTTGCCATTCTAATCTATGCGCCTTCAAAGAGGGAAAATTCTACTTCTGTTCATACACCAGGGCGCTATTTGGCTGGTCTCGTTAGAGCCACCTTGCCAAAAGTCACTATTACAATAGCTGACCTTTTTCGGCACTAAAGACCCAGCCATTAGAATCGATGATTATATTTGCGATAAAGAGGTGACACCTTGTGAATCCTTTTCACAAAATCATTGAGAACTAAGACAATATCCACGAAACCAATTGTTGCTCTACTTGATTCCAGTTATGAACTTTTGTGACCAGGGGGTGCTGATTAACCGAATCTGTCTTGCACCATGGATAAGAGTTCTCATAGTCAAAAAGTAGAACCCTGATTCCAACTTCAGCACACTCAATGGCATATCTTGGGTTATCATCAATCAGCACCTTTGCACCTAAGGACCTGCCAGATAAAATTAAGATGAGAAGCAAGTCATTTGAACTCTATCCATAGGATTTTGCATACAAGGTCACTGAATCAATGATGCTGCCAAAGCCAAGCTCAGAATACTTGTACTTCCAAGTTTTGACAATGTTATATGGCAATTCCAACGACTAGGATTTTAAGGGATGAATTCGCATGTAAGAAGATTAGCACAGTTAAGTGGCTTGAGAGCATTCAACATACTGCAAAGTGGTTAAATAAACATACCTGCATATTTCTGACTTTGGCTTTGACTCTCCATCAAGAGCAAAGTGGTTGCCAAAGTGAATCTCATGAAAGACTCCTGGATAGTGCTTCTCTAGCCACTCGACTGTGTGATCCTTGATGACATTCTGCCGAGACCTATTTGTACATTCATTAATAGAACTCAGTTATTTCCCATGCTTGTCTCTCTATACATGATAGCATGAAATGCCAGGAATACATACGTCACAACTGATAGTTTACAAAGTCGTGACAGCTTATGAAGTGCCTTTTGAGCACCTGGGATTGGGTAGATACCAGTCTTGAAATACGGTGTCTTGAAGAATTCATGGACACGAATATCAGCTGCAAAAATAAGAAAGTCAATGTTGTGAAGCTACTCTAATTAGAAAAGAATTAAAGAATAATTATTGCAGGATACAAAATCTATAACTAAAAACAAAAATCTGAGGGCAATATATCTTCTGCTCCAATTGGATAATTGATCAAAATCCAAACATGGCAATTCAAACTAACAAGCAGTCTCCTACATTTATAATTCACAATTACAAAAAGTTCAAACTGGACACATGCAATGATAGTTATAGATGTCTGTGAACTAGAAACAACACACTACTTAACATCTCAAAACTGCATTTAGAAATGTTAACATGAGTTCTGGTCTACTATACAAGAATACTAACATGATTCTCATATTACTTCTTTCAGATACGCAGCTAGTTAGAGATCCAGGCATATCAAATGCAAATCCAAAAAGATCCCCACAGTTCTTATATGAACTTCTACTTGGTTTTAAAAATAAGCTCCCAACTTCTAATGAAGCTCGTCCAATAAGGAGCATAACACTCAAAAAAAAAACCTATAATGAACAAGTTTAACAAGTCACAATTGCAAGACTACAGTGCACTATGAATTTTATTTGAAATATTTCTCAAATACTGTCGAGAATTGAATGGTTTTGGCATGCCAAATCCTACATCACTTAAAAAACCCTGCCTTAGGAGACAAGTAATACAATAGCAATACCTTCATCACGAGAGCAGTTCCATATCTGTAACAGAAACAATGAGAGCATCAGAATACATGTCAAAGTAAAGCATTTCTTTTTCCTAGGAGCAGAAACCACAATTTGAAGAACAAAAATGTAACAATCATTTGTTAACAAGTGTATAAGAAAACTATAAAGTGTATAGACTTTAATGTCTTGAGATCACAGTTGCAATACCTTAAGTGAACCCAGATATTCAACATGGTGAACAATGGTATCTTAAGGTGGGTATATTCAAGGTCTCAGGTGCCACGGCCCACAAGAAGAGTTGACCATGAAAATATCCAACTTAATACTTGATTATTTTGTAAACAATGACTAAATTGAACTTTGAATGCATTCCTTCATTCATTCCACACTAAAGAAATGAAAAAAGATAACACATTAATGATTTGCTCAATGCACCAATCCATAACTTACCCAAGATCTGTGATAACCTAACCTAACAGCTGCATATGCTACAGTCTATTAGGCATGCGTCAGGTCAGCTACATGCATGGACCCAAAGTCTCACAATGCAGGTGATACACAGATCTAAACCCGACCCCAAGATTCACGAAACTGCATTTTTGTTATTCCAAACAAAGCCCTCTCTGGTTTTTGCTACTTCTGAAGTCCAAGCTTAGTTCTAATTGTCTCCCTCCAGGAGAAAATATGGTTCCCAAACCCCACACACTAATAAAATCGTAAACAAAAAAAAAATTTCTTAGCCTCTATTCTCTAAGGAAGCTAGCTCGTCCATTCTAACCTAAAAAACCACAGAACATAATGCGCCAGTATTAAATGTGAAAGTAAAAAAGTGATAGTGAATGGAATACCCTGAAGAACTCGTAGACATGATACTCTGATACTGAGTGATTCCAAGAGTAACGATCAGCAATAAATCTGTTCAAAGCCGATATAAAGTTCCCCAGAACTGTTCAATACAAAGCAGGAAAGAAAGACACATAAGAACGAAAGCAAGTAAACAAACGCTGAAGCAAACATAGAATCTGTAGCTGAATGGTTGCAAATAAAAAATTCTAGAAGTCAGCAACATAACCAGTAAAAAGGCATCATAACCACTTTATCATCAAATAGCAACCCAAAAACACAATATAATATATAATTGCTAAGTCAAATATTGCAATAGCAAAATATTGCAAATCGTCAAGTGCCCAGATTGCAGCAGACACTTTGCACATTCACCAGGTAAAGTTTCACAGCTCAATAACACAAATATTCAAACAACTGTTAATTAATCCAACAAAAGACCAAGAATTTAATTTAACACACCAGTATAAAACAGCAAAAACAATGAAATCATAACAAAGGGAATAGACCAATACCCTCATCAACATCGACGGCAACGACAATTTTTTCAGTGAGAGGAAAGTCAGGGAATCCAAGAAGCTTCCCTCCATGGCTTAAACCATGACCATTAACAAATCTACCATTAATACTACTACTCCTATCTTCTAATCTAGCCTCAAAATCGCGCACCAACTGATGGTTTGGTGCAAATGCGCGTGCTTTCTGATCGTGTGAAGAATCAGAACAACACCCTTTTAACATCAAAGCACCACCACTACCTCTATTAATCCTAAAACCAGGGCTACAAGAATTATCAAACGAAACGTTAACATTCCTCGAGAACAACGAAGATTGTGGCCTTGTTGGTGATTGATAAGGTAAACTATGAAACCCATTAAGAAATAGATCATTACGGGCTAAAGAAGGCATGATTAGAGCTCTTGTATTGGTAGAGAAAAAACGTAAAGTGGCTTGCTTTTTTAACATAACGATTGCTTCTCAAATTTCACCATTAACCGACATGTACAAAATGCTGAAAACTGGTATCTATCCAACTAAATCAACGAATACTAATAATTTTCAAAACCCAGATAAAAGTTTACTAACAAGAACAAAGATGGAGTAAAAATTTAAGAAAATATTCTCTAAGAATAATTCTTTTAACAAAAAGTTAAAACTGAAGGCGATTTCTTAGATGGGAATTTTTTTGATTCGAGAATAAACGGGAATTTAACATTAAAAGTGGATAACTTTAAAAAATCGGGATCAAGAAAGAATTTTTGTGAATATAGGAGTGTTGAAGATTTTCTTCTTCTTCTTCTTCTTCTTCTTCTTCTTTTTTCTGTCAGTGAAGAAATAAAACAAAGATGTGTAAAATGAACGAGGAAAGATTGGTACAAAACGCAGGAGGGTCAGTGAGCTGTTGCGGTTGCTGAGTGACCTTTTTTGTATTTTCCTTTCGTCTGTCTCTCTGTTTTTTGTTTCCCCCGATCATTCGTCTGTCTCTCTGTTGCTTTTACTTAGGTACGGAGGACAGAAAGATACTATTTTTGTTGCAGTTAATTTTAGGTTAAAGAGGATGCTGTGCCTTAATTTTCGTTTCATCTTTTTTTATTCGAAGTTATTAACTTCCCTGACTTCCCTTTCCCTTTCTACCGCTCCTATTTCTTTTCATTTTATCCATCAAACCTTATTTTTGATAAGCCATTTGGATCTGCATATGAAAAATGTTTTTTAAAACCAAATAATGGATTGAGATGATTGTAATGATTACACAATGTTCTTGAGAGTTGACCCTCCCTCCCTCCCTTTCACTCACTTTTGCTTTCTCACACCAACTTATTTGATTGTTTTTTTTTTTTTTTTGGTAGACTGAAGTTTCTTTTTCAACAGTTGGTGAATTGGTACCAGATGGATTCCAAATTGGAAAAACAATAAAAAACACCACTTTGTTTGTATATATTAGTCAAATTCACCTCTAAAAAAAAAAAAAAAAAAAAAAAAGATTTAGTCAAAATTTACTTTGTATGTAAAAAATTTAGTCCATTCAACTCAATTGGACTAAATTGCATGGAATTGTAAGATGAGTACCAATTCAAATTTTTAAAATTCTTATGAAATAATAAAAAAAATGATCTTTTTATTCTATTGTTTTAATTTACTTTTTTTTCCTTAAAATTTTCTTAACTATTTCCAAATATAAAAAAAAATTATTAAAATTTTAATGACAAAGTAATGTTCTATTTTCTTCATCTTTTTCTTCAAAAAAAAAATTAAAAAGTATATAAAAATAAATAAATAATTTTTTTGACAAAAAAAATAAACTTTTGAAAACATTTAAGGAATAATAAAATCGAAATACTTAGATAATTATTTTTAAATTCTCTCAACCATTAAAAGTTTAAAAATGTTTAATAATATTAAAAACTAGAAATTATAAATGAAAATATTTAACAAATAAAAAATTTAAAAGTTTGTCAAAATAAAAATTATAAAAATTTTCATAAAGAAGTAAAATTTTGAATTAAAAAACTAGAAACATTTAATAAAAAATTATTATTTTTATTTCTTAAGTATTTCCAAACTTTTAATTGATACTCATCTCACAATTCAATGTAATATGGTCCGATTGAGTTGAATTGATTAAATTTTGCAAACACAAAGTCAATTTTGAATAAATTTTTTTGTAGGATGAATTTGATTAATTCTTACACACATAGGACCTTTTTTTTTTAATGTTTTTCCATTCCAAATTTCTTAAGGTTCTTGACTTTCAATCATATATATATATATCTGTGTGTGTGTGGAGAGAGGGAGAGAGAGAGATTATTTAGATTGTCCAGTTTAGGCGGGTTGAAAAGTCAAAAGGGTAAAACTATAGTCACTCGATAAGCCTTAATTGAAGCCTAAGTGAGGTATGTCTAGACTATAATTCATTGGCAGTGATCCTTAATGGTAGCACCCAATTTCTACCTCAAGTAATTTAATTGAATATGTAAGTTTAAAAGAAAATATAAAAAAAAAAGAGAATTATTCAAAAAATAATAATTTGAGAGTTCAATTAAAAAAATATGAAGTGTGGGGACCAAAGAAAACCCAATTAAGGGTTCAATTGAAAGGATTAAAACTCAAGATTTTAATTGAAACAAGGAAAGGGTATTATCGAGGAAAAAACCAAACAAATCAACACCGAAATTAACAATTGGAAAAAACCAAGGATAAAAAATAGTGTTTACACAAAATCCTAATCTTTTTCTATAAATACCCAACCCCTTCGACTATTAAAACTAGACATGGATCCAAAAAAGTTAAGCCAAACAATATGTTAAGGAGAAACCAACCCATCAACTTGCGAGTTGATCCACTAAATCCGTCGAATTTCTTCTCCCAAATTGATCATCCTTCAATCGATATTGCCTCCAACCACTACTACCAATCGATAGCCCACACCCAAATCCATCATTTTTTACCGAGTTGGAGAAAGATGAGATAAAGGATCCGGTCGGAATTGAGGAGAGAAGATCGATGGCTCTACCCGTTGTATTTTATAACAACCGAACGTGTGTGAACCTAGTACTACGGAAACTAATTTCCTAACCTTGAGGAGAGAGAAAATATGGGTTGATTATTTTAACAAATTAATATCCAAGCAACCTTAGACTTAGACTTTATTAAGCCCATTTTGTATGTCTTAATCAAATCAGCTCAACGGTCTAATTAAATACCATAATCCAGAATGTATCTTAGTTTAACTAGGAATCTTAACCTAACTAGGAATCCTAATCCAACCGAACTTTTGGTCATGCTCCAATTTTGAGTTATTCTTTGTGTGTGGCCTTATAGATTCTTATTATGTCGATAGTGACCTTAAAATCATAATTTAGAATTACAAATATTGAGCGGCATCTAACAATGCACCATTACTACCTAAGTAATAAGAATGTTGATGATGCGACATAATCTTGTTCATGACATATGTTACCATGTAGTCTAGTCTCTTTGTCGAGAATGTGTCATCCTCATATAGTTTAATCTTAGCATTTCTTGATCACTATTTAGACTATTCCAAACAAATGAAATTATTAAGTTTATTGAGATAAATCAAAGCCCAATGAATTTATAAATAAAGATTGGTATTCACATAAGATGTGCGATGACAAAGAGTTGTCATACCAATGAGATTAGAAATTGTATTGGATGTAATTGGTAAGGAGTTACCTACCTAATCCTTTCATGTATGACTTATTGAAATGACTTAAAGTTAATATATGATTTGGATGAGATCCTAACCTATTAAGAAAAATGATCGATAAGAGTTCTCAAGTTTTATATGAAGGATCATGCATCCTATGATGGTACGAGAATAAAACAAAAATTTTTCTCCATCTAAGTCTCCTAAGATCAAGTCGTTAAATCAACTAATCATACATGTATAAATTAAACCATAAGTATATGATTACCTCTTGTGGCATATAATTTAACCTTTGTAGAAAAGGAGTCGTCCAAGTCTCTAGTCCACACGGTCCAAGCACTCGCACAAGAAGTACTTAAAAATAATTGAGTGCTAGCTCTATCTTTTTTTGACTTGTTTAGTGTTTTCTCTTTAAAAATCTATTCAAGGATATTTTACGACAACCCTAAGAAAGAGGGAGAGAGGTGGCATGTATAAAAGAAGAGAAAACTATTTTTCTCTTTAATTTTACTCAACTATTTATGCCCTAGTAATTCTTCTTTATTTGTCGCACCTCCTTTTGTATTTATAAGAAGAGTGTCTTTTTTGTCCTCCAAGGATAAGCAAGTGATAGCATTAAATCCTAAAAGGACTCCTTGGTTGTTGTTTCATACTCCTCTAAAGATTATGAGTTATTATGCATGTGGGTTTTTTGATCTTATCCTTTTAAACCTTCTTCTTTATCCAATAAGGTTCATATTTATTCTCTCATAAAAATATCTTGTAGGCTTTTAAACTAAATCTATTGGCCCAAACTCCTTTGATCCAATTAATTACTAATTAATTTGAACTATCCAAATAAATTAGGTTAGATATTTTTTAGGAGACCCACATTAGAAAATAATTTCCTAAATTATCCTTAGACCTAAATTAGAAAACTAATTTTCTTTTTAGGTAAATTACTTCCAAATTAGGAAATTGAGTTCTAAAATAGAAAAATTTTCATTTTAGGAAACTTTTCATTTTTTGAAACCCTTTCCAAAATAGGAAACTTTCAAAATTGAAAACCTTTTTCAAAATCTTTGCTTCTCTTCTATTATATGAATGTTTAAACTTATGTGTGTAACTTAATAGGCTCTTAAATATATTGATAATGTATCAAAAATAAAAGACACCTCTTTTATCTCTTGTTACGTAAATCGAGATTACCTTGTAGCAAGATGTCATGACTACTCAATTCTCTAGAATGATTAATTAATTTGTAATTATCTTTTATGAGTATGGTTATCATATAATTCGATCCTTATATCGGTTTATCACGAGTGTGATCTCAAACTTTATTATTAGTCCGTTTAATTATGATCGCATAAGTTTTTTTCAATTCTCAAATATCTTAGCTCTTCGAGTAAATCAACTATGCTTTATTGGCGTACTCCTACTGTGGCTACGGATTCCTCGAACGAGATATTTATCAAAATGCCGATAAATTTTTTAGCATACAAGGAATGACATGTATTATCTTAGAAATGAAGATGAACTTTATCTATACAAGAAAGTTAATGAGAGCTTATTAGTCTTTATTGTTCTATATGTTGATAACATACTACTACTCGAAAATGACATTTTAAAAATTAGGATATATAGAGATAAATCATGAAGAATGTTAGGACTCTCCCAAAGCATATATATTGACAAAGTACTAAAGAGGTTTAGTATGGAAGAATAAAATAGGGAACTTCTTTAAATTCAAAACATATTT